TTATTTTATTTGTTTGTTGTATATTTTTTTATTTTAGCTAAGCAGTGTGATTATAATTTATATATATTTTATATGTATTTATTCCGGAAATAATTAAAAAAAAATTTAAAAACATAAACAATTAAGACTGCAACAATATACATTGTTGACTGATCCGAATATTTATAAATAAAAGTCGTGCGCAACAATTAAATAAAGACACCGTTTTGTAGCCTAGGTTCACCAAAATTATGTGTGCGAAATTTCTTTTCTTGTTTCCTTTATTCTTTTATCACAAGTATTTAATGCTGACTGCATTAATGAATTTTTTTTATCGTTCCTCTAAAATCAGTTTCGAAGAAAGAGTCGAATGATTTTATAAATGGAAAATTTGATGTGTAGAATATTTTGATAATAATGTCTGCCCACCCTATTATTCCCACCAAAGCAAATCATTATTTTTTTTTTGTCAAGGGCATACACGCTTCAATAATCATAGGTTGAGGGCCACTATTATAACTTCTTCTCTCATTATTAAAATTATTTTACAAGAACCTACAAGATAAATTCATTGCAAATGTGTTTTTTATGGAAGGATAATAATTTTTTCAAAGTATGTATTCGGCTATTATAATTAGAAAAACCGTTATACAGCATCAGACCGTTCTGGACTCTCAAACTTGTAAATTAAGACTTTCAGTAAGAACCAGTTAAATCAAGGTTTGCTAAATAGAGAATCGCTTTGTAATAATTGCCTAAAGTGAAAATAAAAATAATGAATATATACAAGGTAATATTGAAAATTCTGTATATCAAAAAAAAACAAAGAAAATAAGAATTTTTAAGCAACAGTTGCGGAAGCCCAAACCATTGTTAGAATTTTTTGAGGGTATATGTAATGCATTAACTCCAGAAAGACAGTGAAAGAAAGAAAAAAAGAAAGCAGATAATAACTATATGTAATAAAAAAATAAAGTTAAATCTAAACTTATACGGGGTGCATTAGATGATGTAGATGGTGACAAATTGATGAAATTTGTTTTATTTGTTGATTTACAATTAAGCACGCACGAACATTTTCAAATGTGTTTTCCTTATTCATCTACCATTATTACTTTACAGGTTTTTACTTTAATGCATTAACTTTCATAGCGCTTATTTCCTAAATCGTTCATGCAATTCGCTGATTTAAATAATCAGCCCCGCTTTGTTTGTTACAAGAACTGTTTATACACCTTGTTCCAACTCTTTGGGTCATCATTAACTATAATTTACTTAATTTGGCAGTTTAATAAATCCCTTTTTCTACTTCACTAAAAATCAAGTAAGTGCCGCCGCCACATCAAAATAATATTAATATGACAAGAAATTTGATATTTTTTTTCGCAATTCCAGTTTACTGTTATTCTTATTATCATAATATTTCAAAAATTTTCCGTTATATTTATTTATTTATTTATTTATTTATTTATTTATTTATTTAAATCTTTCATTTCGCTTGATATTACACTACTATCACCAGAGAGTCTAGCACTAACGGTGTTAAAAATTCCCCTTTACCAACTTTTTTTTTAGAAATTATTGTTACAAACACCATCCATCGTCACCATTTATTGAATAAAAGCTTGTAAACAAATCTATCTTCATATTTGAATAATGAACCATTGACTTCGGGAACATAAGCTATTTATAATTATAAATTTTTTTTTACGATCGTTAGACCAATCCAAATTTAATTATTTAATTTAGCTAATTAGCAAAGCGTAAATTTTGTTTGCAACAATCTATATTGAAACAACACTTGTAATTAATTAAGTGTACAAATGGAGAATATTTCGATAGAAGCATCTTTTGCAAGAGCAAATAAGTCATGGTTAAAAACTGCTAAAGATCCAGAGTCAAGATGTTATTGGTTAATTAACCGTTATGGAAAAGCACATTCATTGTTTTTCGCAGTATATTTTGGACCAAGTTTCATTAGTGTTGACTTGGTAGATTGTGCATTGAAAAACGATGCGATATTATCGCGATATTTTCTTCAAGTACTTATGAAATGCTATGGGGAACCCGACGAAAGATTAATCGAGCTTAGGTCTAATTATAGCAATAGTAATAATTTAGAGAGACACTTTGAAAAGTTGTGGGGCTCAGATTTACCATCAGATGTCTATGAAAAATTATTAGCAGAAGGAAAACGTAGATGGAATGGAGAATTTTATTTAAAGGGTAATGATCTTGAAAAGTTTTGTTCCTTGAATAGGAAGAATCCAGAGAACGTATTAAATGATATTAAAGTTTTGATTTTGGACAAAAAATTCATCCCAAATCCAAAAAAACCAAAAATTTCATATAAAAATTTTATTGATTTCAAAAAAAAACAATCTCAACCACCACCACAATCACCACAATCACCACCATCTCAACTTTTTGGAGGATCTGCTCAGATGACTGATGCATTTGAAAGTGAAGAGACATTGAGAATAGTGTCTAGGGCAATTATTACTCACCCAGAATTAGTTGAAATTTGGAAAGGAATTGGTTATGAGTCAATTTGTTATGATTACAGTGATTTGGTTTTCCAAATCTTGTATACAGAACATCCTATGTTAGAAACAATTCTTGCAAAATCACAACATTTCATCAATCTAGGATTCAAGTTAACAAAACCAGCAATGGTTGATATAATTTGCTCCTTTAAAGACAGATTGAACATAATTGGTGAAATAATCATAAAATCTTTTCAAAAAATTAGAAATAAAAATAAATCCACCATTTTAGAAGAATGTTTGTTTGAAATCATTGGAGGTGGAGGGAACTTGGAGCAAACCACCTGTGTTCTAGATTTTTTATTTCAACAAATTGAAGGAAGTCCAGAAAATATTTTTCTAAAAATTTTAAAACATTATGGAATTGGAGAAACCAGTGTTGCAAATGTTAATGTTGATGATGAAAACTTGGAAGACTTGAAACTTTTTTCATTTGATTTGTGTATTTATCAATGGATTTTGAAAAATTTCAAGCCTTATCCAACTATTATATCAAAATGCTTTGTTGAAATTTCATTAACTAAAAGTTATGTTGATTCTTTGGTTTTAGCAGGCAATGCTGCCAGTTCCTCCTCTACTTCAAAATTACCACATTCAATTTATACTTCATTTATAAAAACATACTGTAACTACTGCAATTATCATCATGCTAATAATGTTTCTATTGTTAATCAATCCATTTTTCAAGAGATTTTTCAAAAGATTTTTGCAAGTTTTTTAAGATTATTAGGTTTTTCATAAGATTTTTTATTTTTTATTTTTTTTATTTTACTTATTTTTATTTTAGCTAAGCAGTGTAATTATAATTTATATTTTTTATATGAAATAATTAAAAAAAATTTTAAAAACATAAACAATTAAGACTGCAACATATCCATTGTTGACCGATCCTGTAACAGTTCTTTTTCGTTAATTGCGAATATGAAATGTGGCACAGCAATACAAAATTTATTTCGCGTAACGCGTTAAATTAAAACGAAACGTTACAACTTTATTTATATATATTATCGTCATATTACTTATTATTTATATTATGTATTATTTATATTACTTATATTATTATTATTTATATTATTTTCTTATGTATATGAGTTACAAATTAAGTGCTGCGGCTTTCCGGGAAGTTCTAAGATATTATTTTTATTTATTTAATTGTAATATTATATTATGCATTTTTGTATAAAAAGATAAGCTTTCCGTAATTAATAAAGAATAACTTGTATAACTTGTATTTTTTTTTAATAATTAAAACCATTATATAGTATTTTGACGTAAGGAAAAAGGGTTTCCTTACAGATCCGAATACTATATTTATAAATAAAAAATATGAGTTACCAGTATATACACTTACATAGATAAAAGTCGTGCGCAACAATTAAATAAAGACACCGTTTTGTAGCCTAGGTTCACCAAAATTATGTGTGCGAAATTTCTTTTCTTGTTTCCTTTATTCTTTTATCACAAGTATTTAATGCTGACTGCATTAATGAATTTTTTTTTCGTTCCTCTAAAATCAGTTTTAAAAAAAGAGTCGAATGATTTTATAAATGGAAAATTTGATGTGTAAAATATTTTGATTATTTCATCCGATTGATTATATTGATCCACAAAAGCAAATTATTTTTTTTTTGTCAAAAGCATGCACGCTTCAATAATCCTAGGTCGATGGTCACTATTATAGCTTCTTCTCTCATTATTAAAATTATTTTACAAGAACCTACAAGATAAATTCATTGCAAATGTGTTTTTTATGGAAGGATAATAATTTTTCCAAAGTATGTATTTAATGTCTGCAAGAGAAAAATCGCAAAATTTGACATTTTTATTAACAACAATAATAATTGTACGAATAAATTATATGGATAAAAATATTGTTTGAATAATAATATATTTTGATATTTTTAAAAAATTAAATAGCATTTCTAACTATCATTTATCATTAATAAAATGAATAAAGGTAATCATGCACGCAACATTTAAATTTATTTACTTTATTACTTGTCGAAATTCAAAGAAGATTTCTTCTAAAAATTTTCTTTCTTTCGTCAGGACTGATTAGATTGACAAGAGGATTAATTTCACAGCCTATTTTCACCAAAATCCAATTATATTGATATACTTAACATATAATATAGAATTTATATAATATATATCATGATTGGTTAATTTCACTTGATTTTTGTGATACGATAATAGCCAATCGGATTTTTATATTCTCTTTTAAAGGCCATGCAAAAATTTAAAGATCTACGAAAATTAAACATCTAATAAATAGTTTTAATTGAATTAATTATTGGTACATACATATATTTAAAAAGAGAATATCATTAATGATGATCTTATATTTTTTTTAAAATGTCTAATTGGAAATCCAAATAAATTTAGCTAGAATTATTGTTTATTTCTAAAAACAGTAAAATAGATTTTTTTATTTTAGTTAAAATAATAAAATACACAACTGTGTAGTCAACCCCGTTAAACCAAAGAAACAGTAAATCCACCCTGTTAAACCAAATTTGTTAAACCTAATGCTAATACTAATTTTAAATGGAATAACAGATTGACTGTGTAGTTTGTGGCCTAGTACTAAGCCCTATAAATTATTTTTTTTGAATAATGACAGCAAAAATCAGAAAACATGAAATTTTTGCATGCATTTCTACAGTACCTAGGCTACAAGCCATATATACTTATCATGTGTGATTTTGCATTATTGATTCTCTGAAATTTGCTGTAGTGTACCATTTTGTTCTAATAAAATCTATTTGAATCTACTAAAACAAATAAACAAATGGATAAATTTATTATTTATCAAAAAAGAAATAAAGAAACATTAAAGTATATAAATATGGACTAAGATTGATGTATCAAAAAAATTTTTGCAACATTTAAAATAAATATTTTGAAATTCTTTAAAAACAACGTTGTTTAAATTGACTACTGCTTGTGTGATCAATTCAATCATTAACATCAAAGGAACAGAATTAATTATTTCATAATAAAAGCTATTTGTTTGTTTATTTATTGTTGTTTTTTGATTTTAGTATTAATGCACACTTTCTATTCATAATACAAGCTTCGCTTTATATGCTTTATATGCTTTTATTTGAATTATTATTCATTCTATTCGTTCTATTCGTTCTATTCGTTCTATTCGTTCTACGTTTTGTTCGTTTATTCGTTTTGTTCGTTTATTCGTTTTGTTCGTTTATTCGTTTTGTTCGTTTATTCGTTTTGTTCGTTTTTATTCATTTTGTTCGTTTTGTTCGTTTTGTTCATTTTGTTCGTTTATTCGTTTTGTTCGTTTATTCGTTTTGTTCGTTTATTCGTTTTGTTCGTTTTTATTCGTTTTGTTCGTTTTGTTCGTTTTATTTGCTTTTATTTGTATTATTATTATTATTCATTTTGTTCATTTTATTGTTATTTGCTTTTATTCGTTTTATTTGCTTTTATTCGTTTTATTTGCTTTTATTCGTTTATATATTCGTTCTATTCATTTTACTCAAATTATTTGTTTTATTTGAATAACTACTAAAGATTATGATATTATTTCAGCACAAAGAGCTTTAGAAATATTTAACTAATATTTAATTACAAAATATAAAAGAGTTATTGGTTTATTAAATTAATTAAAAAATAGGATTAATTTTAAAAGAATATCTGATAATTTCATTCAATATTTACTAATAGGTTTTTAGACTATATGATAAAAATATTAAGAATATTATAATCAGATTCTGATAATTTACTGATACCCCATTACCCAATTTGGCATCATTTGACCAGTAAAGAGAGAACAAATAGATTATATATAAGCAAAGAAAAATGGGACCTTAAATTAGCACAAAAGAATTTTAAATCATGACAAACATAACAGCTTGATAGCTTGATTGACATAGTGGTGCAGTCTTGCAATTTTTTTATTGTATATTTTAAATATAATTGATCATGTTTTTAACAAAACAAACATGACTTGGCTATTTAATCATTTCCTTCATTTCCTTGTGTTGAATGCCTCCATCAATTGAATACAGTCAAACCTTGTCATAACGGATTTCAATCTAGTACAAATTTAGAAAGTATCTGCAGAAATATTGTATTTGATTGGATATTTCTACAGATACCTTCTAAATTTGTACTAGATTGAAATCCGTTATGACAAGGTTTGACTGTATTCATGATGGTCATGATGATTATTTGATACATTTGATGTTATAATTGACATAACAAACAATTGCATCACTCAGGTAGTAACAATACCAAGGCCATGCATAAACAAACTTTAATAATGCCTGTCTACCTAGTTCACAAGAATAAATAAATAGGGAGGATCAAAAAAAAGATTATAGTTCCCATTGTATAAATATTTCCTTAAAAATCACAAATAAATCTGATGTTGATCACAGGTGTCAGATTTAATTAACTTTTCCTGTCATCAGCATGCAAGACGGCACAATTAAGCACAATTCAGCACCATAGAATTTTTTTTCTCACAGGTGAAACAGACTTAAACATGTTGAAAGGCTTTGGACAAAACTTTCCCTTATCTTCCTCTCAGACCAGGCTTGGCTATTACCATATGGGCATTGATCATTGATAGCTGGTATTTTTGTGATGATTGCTGCATGTTATTGCCACACTAGCATAAAAGTTGGCACCTGCAACTGATTGAGAATTCTCCAACTTGGAAGGTCGCAACCTGGGTTGCTGTTTTGGTTTTTCCCTGAATTCAGAGTTTTGAGTCCTGGGTCACAGTCTTGTCAGTGGCATGCCTACTCACCAACAGCCATACTCCATTTATTTAAATAACAAGTTCAGTTGGTCAAACAAAAATTAAAGAGATGCAGAAAATTTGGGGAAATGATTAATTTATAACATACCAAACAAAATCCAAACCATTTTATTTTACAGCTTTCTCCTTGATGCCAGTGATCATGGTAGCTATCACAATAGGAGTATCAACAAAGTTGCAACTTGGTCACAGAGCCATCTTGCCCTAGAGGTGGGATTGTTGCAGGTAACTTTTTGGCCAGTGTGCCAGCGGCCTTCTCTGGTCTGGTGCTATAAGGGAAGATTAATGAAAAGCATCCTTGACAATTGATGCAGTTTTAATGTAGCTCCAGGGCAGAGCGACCCCCTGGAATTCTGTTGCATCATCATATCATTGGGGCATTGCAAGTCAGATTAGCCTTGTGTACATGAGGAACATGTGTGAATGACCGTAAAGTGTTCAAGGTAGCATGCATGCTTCAACATCTCTAAAAATTTCCGATAATCAAACATTGTATATCAAATTGTTTCTTTTTAAATGGTGTATTGCCTTGACATCTTGTAATTATAATAGTATAATATTATAATAATATTATTATTGATTGCACAAAGCAAAATATTATCAATGAAAATCTTGTAATTACCCAGCAAGATCTGCTCCACATTTTGATTTCCAATTTAAAATAAAAGACACCTCATACATATCAATACAAATAAAAAAAAGTACCTCTGGTTAGTTATTAACACATATTCTTTAGGAGACTCAAACCAAACCAAAAAACAACATTCACGTTTTGTCACCTTGGACTCTGTCAAAAAATAAATTGTTTTTTGTTTTCCAAAAAAAAAAAAAATCAATCAATTTGCATCTGTCCTATATACCAAAAAAAAAACCAATAGGATAAATAATTAATGTGTACATGTCAATCAAATAACAAACTTCTTTATTAAAATGCCAAATAAAAGCAATAACAATAAAAGAAGACAAGAAAATGATCATGGAAATGTATTGGCTGGGTAAGTGTTTTAAGGATGGTGGTGGTGGTTATTGCCCACCACTCATTGATACTCTAGTTTCATTAATACATTTAACCAATATATTAGTGAAAAAAAACCAAAAATCAGTCAAAATGAAATGACCTGGAAAAATTTGATAAAGCTAGAGAGCTTGTGTAAGAATTACTTTTTCTTAACGAAAATAAAAACAATATTATAACACATTTGTCAAACAGGTACTTTAATTATTGTAAAAATACAAGTTATCTTTATTATCTTAAAAATGATGTCCTTTATATAATAAAATTACATAGATTGATATGATATAAATAAAAATAAAAGATTGATAAAATATAAATAAAATAATCATAATAATTCTTATCAATCTATCCAGAAGATTTGTGGACATAGATAAATAATAAATAATAATTAAAGACATGAAATAATTGATGTTACAAATAATGATTAATTATGTGTCATGTTTCCAGATGTAAATATTACTGTACTACACAAGATGTTGTATGTGACTACAAGGTAAATTGTTACAGATTACACACAGGATTTAAAAGATAAATTCAATTCAGTTCGTCAATGTGTTACAGCCATGTATCTTATTGACAAGCTTGCATTAAGAGCAGGAAATAAGAAAACTGGCAAAGAAGCAGATACTGTGGAATGTCGATGGTTACATAAAATAGCAACCTGTCTGTTTGCTTCATTATATGCTACCATTTTCTCCATTATAGTAATAGCATTCTCCATCCTTTTCTTTAGCTTGATTTGGAAGGTATAAGATGCATTGTATGTACAAAATACTTTGGTGGTTAGTCCTTTCATGTATTCAGACAAATGTTTGTTCAAATCTTGAGTCTAAATGAATTTTTAAAGAAAATTTGAATTTATTAATAGAACAAACATAAATGCACACACATATATGTGATTGATTAAATTTAAATCTTGTATTTTTGTACCCATAATCTGTCAAATAACGCATCACCAGATTCCTTATCCTTCATAAATATTCCAAGGTTTTCAAAAACTTGTTCTATTACTTCTACTGAGTTTATGTATCTTATTGATTCTTTACCTAAGAAATCAAACTTGACTGTCCTTGGTGGCACCAGAGTAATATCTTCATATCTGAGGGAACAACAACCCACAGTATTTGCTTCTCCATCAGTTTTCTCATTTCCTCTCTTAATGCAAGCTTGTCAATAAAATATATGACAGTAACACGTTGACAAACAAATCTGTCTTTATTTTTTAAATCCTCTGTGTAATCATGGTGAATTTCTTCTAGATGTTTATTGAGTTCCCTAGCTTTATCAAATTTTTCCAAATCACTTTGACCTTTAAGTGAGCTATTGGGTGCTAAAATCACATATTTTATTTTGTTATTTACATTCTCCTTCCATTTGGCAAGCCAGGTAACTGTGTTATCATGTTGAATACTACCCCAGGAGTGGCCAGCAGGTGGAGGAGGGATGGGTGCATCTTTACTGAGATTAATTGTTATTTGCTCAGGGGTGACTCTCAATTTCAACGAACCAGTTTTAGGATGTTCACCATGACCTCTAAACAAACCAGGTGGCTCAATTATAAAATTACCAACTTTTTCTTTATGTCCATCAAAGCGACAATAACCATAAAACTCATCTATCCTGGTCTTTTCATCTTTCAAACTTTGTTTTTCCTCTTTTGAAAAATTTTTTTTTCGTTCCTCCTTTTCTTGTAAATAATTGTATATAGAAGTAAAATAACATTTTTCAAAATCCTCAATTTGTGGATTTTCTTCAGATTTTTTTAATACAGCTTGCCAATCTTTAAAGAAGTTCTTGTTGAAAGTGTCATTCTTTATGTAGTCAGTGTTTAACAATGCAGCATAAATTGTTGCTACTTCTTCAGCTTCAGGAGAAAGCTTGATTTCATCTCCTTTGAAAAAAAATCAATAATGATTATTGTAAAAAGTTTAGAAACATAATTAAAAAATTATAACAACAGCAATAATAATATTTTCAAATGCAAATGCATTAAAAAAGAAAATTAGATTATATACCATTATACTTCATCTTGACATTATGAGTAACATATTCCGGTGGAAAAAAAACACCATTATGGACTAAGGTAGTCTATTTGACCGGCCGAAGTTCCTCAATTCTTGATTTTTTGGATGTTTGTCTAGTTTATTGGTTAAATGTATTAATGAAACTAGAATGACGACGTGTTTCAATATTGCACCACCACCATTCTTTTTAAATAACTAGAATGACAACAAGTGGCAATATCCACCACCATACTTAAGACACTTACCCTCTTTCAAATTCTTGTTCATTCTCTTTGCTTCATTTATTAATCGCAAATGACATTTTTTGCAAAAAAAAAAAAGTTTGTGATTTGATCGACGCGTACACATCAATTATTTATCCTATTGGTTTTTTTTTTTTTTTTTTTTTTGAAAAACAAAAAACAATTTTTTTTTTGACAGAGTCCAAGGTGACAAAACGTGAGGTTGTTGTTTGGCTTGCTTGGGTCTCCTAAAAAAATGTGTTACTAACTAACCATAGGTACTATGTTTTATTTGTATTGATATTTTTATTTTAGTTTATAAATATTTTAATTGTAAATCAAAACGCGGAGCAGATCAGTGCTGGGTAATTACAAGATTCTTATCAAGATGATAATAAATGATTGGTATTTTGCTTTCGTAATCATTAATAATAACGTTAATATTAAATATATAATTACAAGAAGATGTCAAGGCAGCACACCATTTAAAAAGAAACATTTCGGTATGCGATGCTTGATTATTGGAAATTTTATAGATGAAGCACGCACGCTATCTTGAACACATTACAGTCATTTTCACACATTCCTCGTGTACATAGGGCTAATCTGACCACGGTGCTCCCGATGATATAAAGATGCAACTGAATTTTCAGGGAGAGGCGCAAAGCTCTGGAATTTACCAAAACTGCATCAATCGTCAATGACACTTTCACTAATATTCCCTCACAACACCAGACCAGAGAAGGCTTGCTGACATGCTGGTTGAAAAGTTGCCTGCGACGATCCTTCTCTAGGGCAAGGATGGCTCTGTGACCAAGCTGTTGGAGCTCTGGAGAAATATTAAGAGAATCCGCAGCTTGTTCAAGCACAGGAGATCACAATTCAGAGCAGTGTTGGTGGCCCTGAAATTGTATTTGGAGGATGATGTTAAGAGGAAAGTTGTAAAATAGTGTTTGTTTTGTATAATCATTTTCATAAATTCTCTGTTTCTGATATTAACCAATTTATAATTTTTGGTAGGAGACTGAACTGGGCTTTTGCTCAATCAGTCCCCTATCCTGTAGGTTAAAAATTATCACATGATTATATACATCTTTTTCAGCAATATGGCCAACAAGAAAAAGTCATAAAATGGTTTGGATTTTGGTATGTTACGTTATAAATTAATCATTTTCATATATAATCTGTTTTTCTTTAATTTTTATTTGACCAACTGAACTTGTTATTTAAATAAATGGGATAGGATTGATGGTGAGTAGGCATGCCACCAACAAGACAGAACTCAGGACTCAAAACTCTGAATTCAGGAAAAAACCAAAACAGCAACCCAGATTGTAACTTCCAGAATTAGAGAATTTTCAATCAGGTGAAGATGCAAACTTTATTTTAGAGAGAGGTATAACACAGAGTAATCATCACACAAATGATAACAGCCAAGCCTGGTCTGAGGGGAAGATAAAGGAATGTTTTGTCCAAAGCCTTCCAACATTGGGGACCTTCACCTGTGAGAAAAATTCCACAATTATTAGGCGTGTTAAGAGCACCCAACCACATGTTTGTGACAGGAAAATTTAATTAAATCCGAACCTGTGGTCAATATCAGATTTATTATTCATAAAGAACCATAATTGTAATCAGGAAAAATAATTTATTATTGTGAACCCCAGAATCTGGGTAGGCACAAATTATTAAAAGCTTTGTTTATGCATTGCCTTGGTATTATCATTACTTGAGTGATGCAATTGTTTGTTATGTCAATTATAACATCAAATGTGTTGAATAATAATCATAACCATATGAATATTTGATGGATTGAGGCATTCACATATGGGGCGTGGAAAATAGAAAAGGACCTAACAGCAAAATCTCGATTTTGAGTTAATAATGTTTTTATATGTAATTATTCACACAGATTAATTTTAGCTT